GGACAGGAACAGGAGAGCGAGAGAGCAGGGAAAAGAGCTATAATAAAGGAGGAGGAAGCTGTAACGATGGTCCGCGAAGCTAATTGAGAAGTTTTCTCGGGAGCAGCGAGGCGTGGCTGGGGGGAGTCGGCAGAAGCGAAACGGAGGGATCGAATCGAGATGGTGGTGGTCTCGATGTTGCGTCACTGTGCCGCTGCTGAGAGCGAACCTAACCTAAGAGATGGATCTGCATGCGATGGGATGGGTGAGCACTGAGCACTGAACATGGGGCATTCACAGGGGATAGAGGGATCCATCTGCAGATGGATATGTGCCCATGGGGAGCGGAGTAGGAGGAGTAGAGAACACTAACAGCGATGGGTACTGCTATAGCTAGTACGATGGATCTCAGGTCCAGGCGGTGGTGATTTGCTTTGGTGTTTTGAAGCACTACACCAATTGACAAGAGAGAGGAACCGAGTGTGGTGAGGAGGAGAGAAAAAAGGTAGGAAGAATGAAAGGGAAAAATGAAAGTTTAAGGGAGGAATTACGAGGCCAAGAAGTTGGAAGCAAGCAACCAATATGGAGGGATATTGTGCAGAGGACGTTGAGTTAACAAGAAGATGGTGTAATAATGTACTCGGCACGTACCAAGAGGCCACTACAGCAACTATCGGCTGTGATGTCACCTGGTGGTGATGCCCCTACGAGTACAGCTTCAGGCCTTCAGCTCGTACTTTGGCGTACTAGCGGCCCAAGCTTGGGTGGGGTCGGTGGGATGTCGGGGCCCCAAGCTCCTAGCAACGGCGCCTAAACAAAAGCCAACCTAAAGGCCCGTATACCAAGCCCAAATTACTGTGGAATCCAGGGCAATTCTCCCATCGCCACATGGAGCCGTTCTCTAGGCTCCAAGGACCTCTAGACCAGGGTCAACGTCTTACATGCTTTTAGAAAGACAATGTCCTGGGTTAATGCCTGGAGGAGCCGATTGAGCGTAACATCAGTGTTCTACTCGACTAAGCCTCCAGTAGAGAGATATCAGAAACCATCATATGACTACCATCAGACCATTAAACCTTTTCTCTTAACTTTTCACTCGACGAAACTGTTTTGAGGGTCTCATGTATCATCTCCTCTAAACTCAATCAAGATTAACCGCGCAGAAATGAACCTGGCCAAACGCCACAAACTTGAGATCAAAAGGAATAGCTCCTTGCAACACCAACGCCACTCCGGTCAAAAAGCCGAGGCCGGCCCATTGATCAAGGTGTTTCATTGCCATTTCCAGGTCTTGATGTTACGCCATTATGAGATTGAGTCACTTTGTTGAGGAGCATGGGTTAATTTTACTCTTTTTTCCTTGCCTGTTATTAGTCGATACGCCTCGACGTTTTTCCTCAACGGCATGCGCAACTCTCCCACCCGTTCTGTAGGGTATGTTGGCACGGTGCAGACTTTTTACTTCTCACCACACTAGCGATTAGGTACAAGGACCAGACAGAACTTTTCATTCTAAAAAAAAATTGAGACCTGTCCTATGTATGGTCAGACGCAGGTCTGGCACTTCTTGGGGATGTCGGGATGAGGTCATGGAATGCGGGGGAATACCAGAGATCGACATGTTCAGCAGATGTGGTTGTTTCCCCAAGTCACAGGAATCCTTTTACTATGGCACACCTTTGAAATCGATGCCAACATTATGATGTCTATTTTCAGGACAGATATCCTCCTACTCTCCAGAGCGCTGGTCATAGAAGGATGATGGCAAACCCTACTATACCATTGTGTCTACTGATACCTTATCTTGTAAGTCTTGGGACTATAAACAAGGCTTACTTTAATCCTAGACCTAAGTCTTATAAACTCATTTACAAGAAAAAGATCTTTTCCCTCCCAAATCTCCATAAACCCCAAGGGTGGTGCATCCTATTTTCTTGCTAACCTCCAATCTATAGCTCATGATGGAAACCCTCCAGATCACCACAGAGAATTTACCAATGATTGTTCGACTTTATCGAAAATTAATAACAGAACACATACCACCTTCAAACCGCAAGTAAACAAAATGAGATAGGTGGCTTTGTTGCCACCGACCGAACCTCTACGGTGTAAGTTCTACCGAGACCCCGAGCCGTAATACTCATGTCTGAACAACTCCCTTATTCAGCGTTGTATGTCTCTCCTTAAAACACTACGAGATTAGCTCCCCACGGCTACGGAATTACCAAGAATGCATTTGCTGGAACTGCTCCGTCAACCCGACTCCCCTGTTTCCATCGAGACATATGTGGTACGTCTGTAGAGCTTTATTACCCCAAATGCCATGGTAACAGAATACGGGGGTATTTTGCCTAGCAACAATACATTGGATTTGAAAGCTATTATTCAAGCGATCATATGTAGCAGCAATTGATATGGGTCAATCATCGTCATTACTTCGACATAAGGAAGCAAGACAAGAGACAATACGTTTCTCTCTCGCTGAAAGTCCCAGGCATAAGCTATTGACTCGCGAGCTGACTCGGGAATGGTCATGTTTCTCTAAACAAGACTGCTACTTTTTAAGTACACCGTAGAGGTCAACACGGGTAAAATTGAGTTGACACTTGTCAAGAAACATGGTGACTTCATTCAACGAGGTTCAGCTCAACAGCATGCTATCTCGTTGATGGAGAACAAGTTTGAGGCTCAACCCACACACCTGATATTCTTTTTACGGATTTAAAGTATCGGCCTAAGCCCCAATGGCTTACCTCAACCTTTAAAAGAAAGCCTCGACACCAAATTTAAGTTCGTATCCAAGAGATGAAAATCTTCAACTCTCAGGGCTGTCCAACAAAGATCACCCACTCCATAATTGGGATGCTTGATTGAATGCTGTAAACTAGGAAGCCATGAAAATTAGGCTCATGAAGGAATTGCTGTATAAATGTACCTTCATCTAATGTAATAAGGTATCTTTCATTTTTGTACAGTTAGGTACTATGTATAGCCCCAGGAAGATGGTTCAGCCTTGCAGCCACCGATATCGTCATTGGCCAGCAGCTCAGATCGGCTCCCCGCAGTGGGACCAGAATTAATGCAAGGCTACAAAATTTTCCAAAATTTTCTAGATTTTGCTGAGATCTTTGCGCACTGATTTACCACAAGCAGACTTCACCGCACGTATAGCGTTCGAGATACCCGGAGCCCAATCGGCTTCAAAACCAGTAGAAATCTTTTACTCTACAACTTCCAATCAGTTCACCTGGAAAATAATTTGTCAGACAACAATTGAATAGCTGCGCAAAAATGGGGGACGTCGCACAGGTGAAGGTCGTCTTCACCACCACTGAGCAGGATCTGGTACTCCCAGATTCTAAACAGCAATTGCTCGTGCCTGCAGGTTGGTTATTGATGTTTTTGAAGACTTTAGAGCAAACAAGGGACTGATTTTTATCATAGATATCAAACGATATGGCCTCTCCCGCATTCTCAACTCCGAGTCTATGCTCGACACCTCCTCTCCCATCCCTCTCGACTTTCTCGCCAATGGCACATTTCTCCGAACTTCTATCGAAGAGTATCTTGCAACAAATGGTCTTTCATCTGAATCTACCTTGACTTTGCAGTATGTTCGAAGTCTGCTACCCCCGGTTTACGAAGCGAGCTTTGAGCATGACGACTGGGTTGGTGGTATAGACCTCCTATCTGCGACTTCACGAGCAGGCCTTCTGGCTGGTGGTGGGAGTGTCCCCGAGCGAGTTGCGAGTGCTTCTTACGACGGCCTTGTTAGAGTTTGGAACCCCTCCGGAGACGCACTCGCAGTGTCTTCTGCCGGTAGAGCTGGTGGTCATAGTCAGCGAGCGAATGCGGTTAAGTGGATCTCGCAGAAGCAGCTGGCTTCAGCTGGCCTGGATCGCAAAGTTATTGTCTGGGACTATAGCGAGTCTGAGGATGGTTTCTCTGGCGCCCTCAAGTCCAGCATGGAACTCTGGGGTCACGAGAAGGAAATCCACAGTCTCGACATTAACGGAGCCACCAAGCGTATTCTCACAGCCTCATCCGACGGTAAAGTCGGTCTTTGGACATCATCAAAAAGAACAGCTCCCCAGGCAGATCCTGAGAGCTTGCCTTCTGCGCATAGCACGAAGCGAGCCAAGCTTGCAAGTGCCGCCAACACTGCACAGCGTGGTCCTCTCGCTTTGATCCCTGTCCACGATGAGCCTGTGACTGCTGCCATCTTTCATCCCAACGACGCAACGGTCGCTTATTCGGCATCGAAAGATCATACTGTTCGCACTATTGACTTGACAACCCAGCGCGAGGTCAGCCGACTCACTACTATGCACCCACTATTATGCGCAACGGCGCTCCCTGGATCCTCGCTTGTCGCTGCTGGTTCGTCGGCCCGACATATTACCCTCCTCGACCCCCGCGAGTCAGCCACTACAACCTCAGCCATGACACTCCGCGGTCACGTTAATATGGTTGTCTCTTTGGCGCCTTCGCCCGAAAACGACCACTCGCTTGTGTCCGGCTCTCATGACAGCACATGTCGTGTGTGGGATCTTCGAAGCGTGCGGATGGGTACATCGGAAGAGGGTGGCGGCAGCGTAAGCGAGCCTGTGTACACCATAGGCCGAGAATGGCTGAAGGGCAAGAAGCTCCCCCCTGCTGGTGATGGAGCCAAGGTGCTGAGTGTGGCCTGGGATCAGTCCTGGGGTATTGTGAGTGGTGGTGAGGATAAGAAGGTTCAGATCAACAGAGGCCGTGATCTGTTTGGGCCAGGATCATAGTGTAATAGAAATAGGGACTGAAAAGCGACTGTTCCTTTATATTTGAAAAGTATTTATTGTGTTCTTGGACAGTATGGGCTGGGATACTTTATTAACCAATTGGCAACGAGCCTGAAGATCACGAATTACAACCTGAATAGAAGGCAATAAGCAATCTTCATCTATTCGTTTCCAATCCAGCTTGTAGCCAAACTGCCGATCCGAGTAGTTCCCCATATGTATACTCAAATCCTAACATCGATTTTATAATTCTTCTGACTCTTGACTTGCATCCACCAATGCTCGATACCTGGCACTCACTAGTGACTGAGGAGCAAGGTGGACCAGCACCTCGGTTCTAAGCCTCGCCTTGGAAAAAGGCAACCCTTCCAAGATGATGGCATCAAGGATATAGGAAACAACAGTGTTTGTCTTTAGAGGAGGAGTACGTAAGAGTGTCGCAACGGCTTCTGGGGTAAGATCGTGGTTGTCGTACCACATGTAATAAGTGCGTAGAGACGACAATGGTGGAGTCGACTTGCGGTGCGTCGTGCTGCGGTATTGTTGAGCGTGCTTTTCAGCAGCGAGGATACGGGGATCCCTTGTATCATGAGAATTGCTCTCTGATGGGGGCGTGGCCTTTGTGGTGGGCATCGCGACTGATTGTGTAGGCCTGGTTTCTGGCGTATCAAGTCCCGCCTCAACATCAGCAATCACTTCAGATTCCCCCGATTCTGAAGTCGCATCACTTTCGTCAACGTCATCAGCGGTCAAGAACTGAATAGGAAGATTCTTCTCCACGAAGGCTGGTCGAGGAGGAGTAGGTTGAAGCTTCATGCGTTCCTGCTCAAGGACGTAGTATAGCTGCAGGCCAACATATGCATCTGAAGCCGAATCTATATATGCGTGAGTTACAGAAGCACCGATAACTCAAAGTTTGACTTACATGCAACTTGATCTGTTGACAGACGCATCATCCAGTTACTGGAACGCACATCTTCTCCTTTAAACAAGGGAAGACCTAACATCTCCTGTGTCTGCACGGCTAAAGACACCATGACCTTGTTGATTCGGTCCAGCTCTCCAGCCTTCGAGTATTTGACAAGTTTGTAGAGGTGGGACAGCTCGAGAAGTCCCTTACTGTTTATGCCGAGATTGTTCTTCAATCTTGTGCAGTCACCCTTGATAGCCACGCCGACTTTCGTTACGCTTTCGTCCTCCATGATCCTCTTGAACGTTGGGGCGACAAAGTCGTCCCTGGGAAAAAGTGCAACGTGGAACAACCCTACACGACTTGGGCTAGCGATCTGGATGAGCGAAACATTTCGTCGAGGGTTGGAATTGGCAGGGCCCCTCCCAACAAACCACTCCAAATCGAAACCAATGACTTTCTCGTCAGAAAAGTACCTTTCACAAACATGCTCCATCGTATGTTTTGAGGTGCAGTAGTGGACTTTGACTTTCTGCTCCTCGCCGTTTCCTTGAACTTGACGGTACATTTTGTAGGACCAGAACGACTGGCTGGAGCCCGCTTTACTCTTTCGGGCTGCATCCCAAAGGTCGGTGTCGATTGTGTAATCTAAGGATGTGAGGGGAGCAGCGACGGAATCCGTCAGGCTTTTCTCCCGTTTTGAGGCCTCGATGAGATCCCCATCTGTGTCTGATGCAACCTGGGTGCCTTCAGAGATGGTTTCAATCGCAGGCAACACCAACCGATCTTGTTGATCGAACCATTCCGCCGCATCACGCTCGAACTCCTCATCTTCGCCGAACTCATCAATTTCGACATCTCCTTTTTCAACATCTTCAGACCCAGAGGCAGGAGTATGGACGAATCGAGTAATATCTAGGAAAGGATACGATGGCTGGTGATCGCTTTTTGGAGAAAACCTGATCCCAAAAGCCGGATTCCACAGACGATTCTTTATAGTTGGTGACATATTGGAGCTAAACTTTTCCCTTCATAGATAGAACCGTCAGGAAGTTTTAAAAGACGAAGATGGGTATTTAACATACCTACTAGTATAGGGGAACCGACGCGTTCTTGTCAAGGGTCTTGATACACTGCCAGCAATGCGCCCCTGTAAAGACAGTATCATTGGGGTATGAAGTGACTGAAATGTAGCCAGCGTCGGTGAGCCATTGTGGCAAAAGCCCATGACCCTGATACGCGAAAGCTACTGTACAGTAAGTATGTGAGATTTGTTAGGCAGCCGCGTCAATAGAGCGATCATTGATTCTGAGCGTTAGCGGGTCGCTTGGTGAGGGTGGAGGTGGGCGATCAACTGGCTTAGTCACCATGATTATCGCGAGAGCACGTGGGGACGTGCTCTATATTCACACCTCCATAATCCATCCCACTTTGAGACTTTGAGACGACGACCTTGACGACTTCAGCCCAACTCTGAGATAAAACATCTGGCTTTCGGTAACTAAAACTGAACCCTGACTTGGGAATGTACTAATAACCCTGAGCAAAGAAGCCGTCTGATCAATAACTCTTCATACAATCCACCCACGTCACATTTTCACAATGGCATCCCAACTGTTACCTCTCGGTGAGTAGCCTTGCATAGGGACTACCAATATATCAAGGCTATATTCTGACTCTTCTATGTAGAGCTGATCGACAAGTGTGTGGGCTCTAGGATTTGGGTCATTATGAAGGGCGATAAGGGTGAGAGACGAGTTTCTGTATTCTCATAAACGATTGTGCTGAAAAAGTGATAGAATTCAGCGGAACTCTCGTCGGTTTTGATGACTACGTTAGTGAGTATTGCTCTCCCAGTTCGTGTCTTCTGAAACTAATCACAAGTATAGACATGGTTCTGGAGGACGTGACCGAGTTGTATGAGTAACATCTCCATCATTGCATTTCCATTACTGGCTAACTCAATAGTGACTACTCGGGTAACCACACTAAACTTCCCAAGATTCTGTTGAACGGCAACAACATCTGCATGGTGAGTCAATCGCAACTCATTGTCTGCTTTTTGTACTAAGACTTTCTCAGTTGATCCCAGGTGGTGAAGGTCCAGAAGGAGCTGCCTGAGAATGATCTACCAGGATCATAAACATCGCAAAACCTATTCCGATCGAGATTCACCTCGAACGCAGGACTCCCTATTTTAGATTCAAGCAAACCTGGCGCTACCTGCTTTATACATGTGTCCCGGCATGCACATTGAGAGAAAACAAGGACCGCAGTATAGCTCAGAAGAGTCTAATCTTGAGCTTATTCCAGTTTACATCTGGCTAAAAATAAATAAGCAGTAATCTGCAGCCCCCAAACGCCGACCGTCCATGATGCCTGTCCGTTTTAGATGACCCCTAATATGATCGTGGTAATGAACGCGGAACTCAGTGACCGTTCTGCATGTTTCCCTGCTCACCAGTGTTCGTGATGCGTCTCAATTCCCACTCTCGCGTGAACTCCTGATGCAGCATCTCGAGCTGTTTAATAAGCTTCTCACAGACAGAAGTAAAGACATCTCGAGGGGTGATGGTCCCGTCTGTCTGGACTCGTATGAAAAGCTCCGGAACATTGGGGTGAGCGACTGTGTTTGATGTCAGCACAAGATTGGCCGAGGGCGACGGGGTTTTTACTCTTATATCCAGCCATGTAGACATTGGGGTGCATCTTCAGGTGCTCGGAGAGAAGGTTACCAAGAGTGTGGTCTTCTTTCATGAGAACAAAATCGGAGGTATTGGACATCCCTGGGAATACTGTGAGCACGGGATATACACAACTCGCAAGAGAGCTAACCTGAGAAAACCTTCTCCTCGATCTTCTTCTCACCCTCTCCGAGTAAGAAGAGCTCGAAACTATTAAGTTTGTTAGCCTGCGTAGATGCCGAGTAGTTCAAAGTAACGTAACGGGTCATCTTGGAGATTGAAGTGCTTGGGGTTACCGCCAGCCATTGTTTAATATTTGGTGAAAAGACAAATATATGCTATGTTCTTTTTATGGTGTTGACATAGATGAGATGAGCTTGACTCGCTTGAGGAAAAAGCTCTTTTTTTTATTGCTTCGGAAGGGCTTTTGAAGGTCGTGATATAACTCTTCTGACAGTGCCCGCCACTGGCAAGGCAAATGAACACAGGACATAGAACCAAAGAAATTGACAGTTATTGGATCGCTTTCAGACATTCGAAAAATAGTACTGCTTGAGGAAGCTGAGCACATATGCTTGAGGGCAATGCCAACTAACTCTGCCAGTCACAAGAAATGCATTCTAAGCCATATGAACTGACAACTTGTCAGAGTAAAAGTTCTTCCCTATGCCAAGGCACAAACCGATTGCCTAATCAACATTGGATATTTGGCTTCACATGGCGCTTGACAAAGCAGTATACTGCATGTTGGGAGCGTTGTAGTATTCGACTCGGACTTGGTTGTCCGTCTCTTGTTGCCGACTTAAAGAGCAAGGAGCATGAAAGCACACGAAACCAGACCAGAATAAAGAAGCGGAGAGACATAGAGAGAGAGAGAGAGAGAGACAGAAAAAGGTAATCTTACCGATCTGGCGCGTTCATCTTCGGTTCTTGATCCGGGTGCTAGACGGTTTGAGATTTGGCGGTAAAGTGGCGATTACAGGAAAAGTCCAAGGATGTCGGCAACCTGCGTTTCGTATCGCTTGAATCACTCGGTGAGCAATTCTGAGGATAGAACAAACCTAGAGGATACAGCACCAAAAAGACCCAAAAAGAAGTAGTATCTTGAGCGAGTAGTACAAGTTGTGAACAAAGACTTAAAGAATAAAGCAAGGTGATGTAGGGGCTGCCTTCAGAGGCTTAAAGCTTCCAGACGTGACAGAAGGCTAAAGGTCGGTTAATCACGACAATGCATCCAACCTCAACCTTCCGATGGCACGCTTACAATTCTGTCATGCATTGACTTTCACCGTTGCAGGCTCAACGATGAAGTTCCTTTGTCATGCCGCGCATTCAGCCGTCTTTGTTGCGGCGTGCTAGGCGCCTTTCGCCACACATTGCAAGCCTTCTTCCAGCTTGTCGGGACCTAAAATCTGCCCAGAATGAACTACGCTGGTTAAGAAGCCATGTCGATGAATCACGGTCACGACATAAATCATGGCAGCTAGACAACCTATGTCGAAGAAGAGGGCGTGGTGAGCCTCTTCAGTATGTCCTCGGCTCTCAGCCATTTGGTTCACTCGACATCAAGTGCAAACCAGGTGTTTTAATACCTAGACCAGAAACCGAAGCATACACTCTCCACCTAACAAACCTCGTCAAATCAGGAGAGCTTTTAGGACAAGACGTAAGGAAACTCGACCGTGGAGTAAACTTAATCGACTTCTGCACAGGAACTGGCTGTATACCTCTTGGGGTTTTCTCATCTCTCCAACACTCGGTTGACAACTTGACCGTGCGAGGAGTGGACATTTCGCCTGTAGCCCTCCGACTCGCACAGGAGAATATCGCGTGGAACGTCAGCCTAGGAAACTTGATTGAGCCTACAAAAAACAAGCGGCTTGACATCACAAGGGCAAACGTTTTCAGTGATGGCGACATGCAGCAGCTCGCCGTTACTCCCTGGGATATTCTTGTGTCTAATCCTCCATACATCTCGGAAGATATCTGGCATCACGGCCGTGGACAACTCGGATATTCAGTCCGAAAATATGAGCCGCGTCTCGCATTGGTTCCCGATAAAGACATCCCTTGCCCGAGTGAATGCAACCCAGAAGACGTCTTTTACGCTCGACTCTTGGACATTGCAGAACTCCTAAAGCCGAGGGTGGTACTATTCGAAATCGGCGACGAGAAGCAGGCTCGTCGTGTGTTGCAGCTGTACTTCGGTCACCCAATCGCCCAAAAGTCAAGGACTGAAATTTGGCGTGACTGGCCTGACATCGAGGGAGCGAAGGATACAGAGATTGTTCTGCATCTCAAGGAATCAAAGGAAGAATGTCGAGTTCCGGTGAAAGGTGATGGTCTTATACGATCCATTCTGATTCACAACCTGGAACGGGCGGAGCGATAGAGTAGTGGAGGAACAGACGCTTAGGAGCCTGCCAAGGTATTCTTCCCTCCAGTATTACCTAAATCCTTATTCAATTCGTTTCACTACTCAAGTACTGAAAAGACTAAATATGGTATATCTCACATCATGGTATGGTAGGGGAAGCAAGAAAACTTAAGACCCGAATCCTAAGCGACAAAAAGATTTAGGTAAATTAGCCTAAGCTTAAGGGGTTCTTTACTAAGTATATTTTGGTATCTTATCTTAAAGTCCGAAGTTTTCTTGCTCCGTGGGGGTAGCTATAAGGAATATTCTCTTATGATGGTAATCCCTATGAAGCAGACAGCGCCTTAGCCAAGAGTTCTATAATACTTACATCCATCATCAGCACTGGCAATTGAGGCGCAAGTTGCCACTGCTAACTTCAACACCGGTCTGTGACGATGAAGTTGAAAAGTACAACAATTGGCTACCGAACCACTTAACCATATCAATGTACCTGTTACTTCACAACATTAGGTACCTACCTGATGTCAATCGTCATAGAGCCGAACAGAAGTAGGCATCACTCAGTGACGTACCTGACACATTCCCTGAGGCGATCATGTCAGCCAATCCTCTCACCTTCCGCCCTCAGTGGACCCCAGCGATTTCCCCAACACGTGATCCTCCATTTTTCGAGCTAAGCAACCGCTGTAGACTCATCACCAGAAGCTTTCACTTGGTGGTGTCATCCAACATATTCAGATTCATCCATTGGCGCTGGGACTCCAAGTTCTCGCCATATACGACTGTATACCGGCCTCAAATATCAGTCAATAGCCTTTTTGGCTTGAGCCGTGCTACCCTATGAGATAGCACGGCGCTCTCAATTACCTTACCTTTATCTTTACACAACCCCGGTAGTTCCGCACTTGCGCCAGCCTGCGTTGCCCGCCATGTCGAGGTTTTTAAGACAATCAAGCCAGCTCGCACGAGCGACAAGACTGTCAACGCAGCCTGCACTACGGTTATGTGCAAGACCTTCACTTGTCGCCAGATCGATTCCTGCAAAGACTTCTGCCGCATTCGCCATTCGAGCAAGGACATATTCCTCGCAGCCCCCACCTCCCAGCAAAGATCCCCGATCAAACTCCGACAAAGATGATGAGCATGGAAGCAAGTCATTAAACCAACAAAGTGCAAAGAATGGGCCCGATGAAAGCAAGCCTGAAGCACCAAAGCCGCCACCTCTGCCCGAAGGCTGGATTCACTTGAACAAGGAGGAACTTGCACATCTCGAGGAATTTACAAGTCGACTTCCAGAGGCTCAAAGGCCGGTGGCGAAGGATATTCTCGAGAAACTTCAGATTGTTGGCGCTCCTGCTGAGACCCGAGATCTTCTTCAGAAGCAACGGCAGAACGGCAACCTTTCGATTTTGGACAAAGGAAGACTTATGCGATGTGTATACATGGTTACAGAAAGGATAATAGAGTTGGAGGACCAACAAGACAACCGGGATGGGCAATTCTCATCCTTCCGCATGGACCAGCAATCGAAGGCCCAGGACGGAAAGGGTGGCGCTGACAAGTCGAAGCAGCAGCAGCAGCAGCAGCAGAAGGGCGGTAAGCCACCTAAGAATGAGCGCAGCGGGTGGCTGGAGGCTGTTCAGACTGGTATCGCCATTGGTGTCACTGTATGGATTGCGGAGCTCTTTGCCAACCCTTTCTCTGAGAAGGAGATCACTTGGCAAGAGATGCGAAAAGCATTCCTGGATAAGGGCCTGGTTCAGAAGCTGATTGTTGTCAATGGCTCTCACGTCCGGGTAGAGCTCCATCCATCTGCAACTGGAGCTACTGGCGAGGGCGGACAACCCGCGAGAAAGAGCTACGTGTTCTCCATCGGGTCTGTTGAGTCCTTCGAGCGAAAGTTGGAACAGGCGCAAGACGAGCTGGGTATTCCGCCCTCTGAGAGAATACCTGTGAGCTATGAGGCTGGCGGTAGCACCCTTGGCAACCTTCTTTTAGCCTTTGGTCCTACACTGCTCTTTATCGGGTTGATCCTATGGACTCAGCGGTCAATGGGTGGACGAGGTGGTGCTGGAGGGGGTATGTTCAACTTCGGCAAGAGCAAGGCTAAGAAATTCAACGCCGAGAGTGCTGTTAAGGTCAAGTTCTCAGATGTTGCTGGCCTCGAAGAGGCAAAAACCGAGATCATGGAGTTTGTGAGCTTCCTGAAGCAGCCCGAGAAATTCGAAAAGCTGGGTGCCAAGATCCCTCGAGGTGCTATCTTAGCTGGTCCTCCTGGTACTGGTAAGACATTGCTTGCCAAGGCCACGGCCGGCGAGTCAGGAGTACCCTTCTTCAGTGTGAGCGGTTCTGAATTCGTTGAAATGTTTGTCGGTGTCGGCCCTTCACGTGTGAGAGATCTGTTCGCCGAAGGACGTAAAAACGCCCCTTGCATCATCTTCATTGACGAGATTGACGCAATTGGACGTGCGCGACAGGAGAGTGGCCGGGGATTTGGTGGTAACGATGAGCGGGAAGCAACTTTGAACCAGATTCTCACTGAGATGGATGGTTTCAATACCCGCGAGCAGGTTGTTGTTCTTGCTGGTACTAATCGAGCGGATATGCTCGACAAGGCCTTGATGCGACCAGGACGATTTGACCGACATATCTTCATTGACCGTCCTACAATGAAAGGCCGCCAGGAGATCTTCAAGGTGTATCTGAACAAGATTGTGACGAATGAGGACCACGAATACCTTGTTGGTCGTCTCGCAACTCTCACCCCTGGCTTCTCTGGTGCTGATATTGCCAACGTTGTCAACGAGGCTGCTCTTATTGGTATGTTCTACCGGCTATCCTGATTTTGTGTGTTGCCTGGCTAACTTTGCCTAGCTGCCCGAGGCAATGCTGATGAGGTCAAGATGGACCACTTCGAGCGGGCTAT